TGAAGCAATAACAAGCCGCCATCCTTTTAAATGAAGTTAACCAGGGGAGTTTTCTTTGTGCTTGGATACAGCATTCTCTCACAGTGAAAATTTAGATCTTGTCTATGAGTTATAGCAGGAGAACTAACTGTCACAATCAGTGATGATCCTCAGTTTGACATAGAAGTTCATGGAAAATTTCAGATCCATGACAGAACAGCACATGAGCATTCATAAGCTGAGAAAACAGAAGATTTGGGGAGTGATGTAAGAGAAACAGCACAGTAGGTGGTCCAGAGGATAGCGAAATATAGTTATGTTTCTCCTCTGTATGAATTAAGTTCTGCAACATTTTGAGCACACCTCAGATATTTAACTTGTCTTCTTTAGACTTGAAACCAACCACATTATCAATTTAAGATGACATAGCAACAAGATGCTAAGTCAACCCAGAGTCTCTGTGTTAAAAGTGCAGACTTCAAACTACATACCAGTTTTTAAATCATGTTGATAGGCCACGTAAAACCAGAGTAATGATAAAAAAATTATGTTATTTGTTATGATGTTATTATGTTATGTTATTTCCTGAATATTATCGTTATGTTTACTGCAGGAAGAAATGTTAAAAACTGTGTTTTCTAAGGAAAGTGCTTCCAAGCACTCTCTGCTTGTAACAGGAACAGAAAACAAAAAAAAACCCCACCCCTTTCCTATTGGTGGAAAAATGTACCATGTTGACCAATCAAAAAATTATATGGCAACATGGCATTTGGTTGTTTAGGAAGAGGGGGAAATTTTAGGAGTGACGGCAGCGAGAGAGAGAAGGAGAGAGAAAGAGAGAGAGTTTTGAGATTTTAGAGATTTGTGACGTTTCGTGTGTTTGGAGTGTAGTAAGCGTGTTGTGTAGTCGATAGTTTTGTTATGTGTGTCAGAACAATGAGGCGACTGCTGAATTTCACAGTTGCTGCCAAAAAGCCACCAAAGGCAGACTGCCTCCAGGTGGAAAAACAGGAGTGATGCACCTGTTTTCAGACATGCAGATATCAGGCTTGTGATCTGGTCCATTATCTTATAGTGGAAAGAAATTATTTTTTGGAGTGGCACAAATCGTTTTGTGCAAAACACCTGATTGTTCTGTAAATAGTTTGAAATGGTTGTTTTTAAAAATGCCTTGGCTGCAGTTTTAGGTGAATAGCAGAATATAACTTTGTTGTTTGCATTTCAAGTTATGAAAATGATTTGTTAAACATGTTCGTGGTTGTTACAGTAACTTTCTTCTACTCGGATTTGATGTTTTTTTGTCTGATTTTAGATCAGTTGTGTTAAGACAGTATGTCAAAATGATTAAATAACTGTAAATTCAGACATGTGAGGTTGATACCACGCAAGGCAAGTTTTTAAAGGCAAAATGTAGAGGTAAAAC